CATCCAGCTAGTTTTCAAGCCTAAGGAGGACTAGAACTCCCAACCTCCCGCTTTCCAGCCTGGTACCTCAACCTCTGGACCAAACTGGCTTCCTTCCTCTAATGGGAGATCTTCGATCTCCATCCATCAACCCACCAGTGATTCTCTCCTTTTCTTCGTTTCCCCTCTAAATTAACGTCTTTCTTCACCGGGGGGATCCCAGAGATTTGAATGGGGTCCCTGAGTTGGTGGGGGGGGCATCCAGTGGGACGGAGCAATGGGGAAGGGGCGCTGATCCATTTTTTTCCTGCCCCCCCCCCCCCCCCCCCAGCTTAGATCTTTCGGAGCTGGCCAAGGCGGCGAAGAAGAAGTTGCAGGCGGTAAGTGAGATGGTTTTCGAACTCAAGACCCGGCTCGGGCTGGGCTCTCCTCGTGGCCACCTTTCCTAATCCTTTAAGGTGGGCCAAGTGAGGTTTCTAAGGCAGCATTTCTCACTTTGGGCTGCCGGAAGAGGAGGGGACTTCAATTCCCAGAATTCCACCCCCCCCCCCAACCAGGGGGAATTCTGGGAGTTGAAGTACACACATTTTCAAGGCGCTGAGTTTGGGAAACAAACCTATAACGTTTTAAAACCAACATACAACATCCCCTTTCTGTCCATCCACACTTTCCCACCCCATTCAGCGAGGCAAAATTTAACACTGGTGTGAATGACCCCTGGAAGGATCCCATAAGATCATCTATTCCATCCCTCCGCAACGTGCAGAAAAAAGCGATTTAACCAGTGTTTCCCACTGTTAGTAGCTTTAAGAGGGGTGGACTTCAACTCCCAGAATTGAACTCAACCCCCCCCCCCAAAGCACGCTGGCTGGGGGATTCTGGGAGTGGAAGTCTTCCCCACTTAAAGCATGTTTCCTGGGGGATTCTGGGAGTGGAAGCCCCCCCTCTTAAAGCATCCTGGCTGGGGGATTCTGGGAGTGGAAGCCCTCCCCTCTTAAAGCATCCTGTCTGGGGGATCCTGGGAGTGGAAGTCTTCCCCACTTAAAGCATGTTTCCTGGGGGATCCTGGGAGTGGAAGTCTTCCCCACTTAAAGCATGTTTCCTGGGGGATTCTGGGAGTGGAAGTCTTCCCCACTTAAAGCATCCTGGCTGGGGGATTCTGGGAGTGGAAGCCCTCCCCTCTTAAAGCAGGCTGGCTGGGGGATTCTGGGAGTGGAAGTCCTCCCCTCTTAAAG